ATTAGGGCTTTTGGTATGCCTGTAAATTTTGGTCTTTTTAAGAATCTAGGCCAGATTTTCTCACAGAATGTCCCACGATCTGGATTTGATTATTTCCTCATGATAAGATTCAGGTTAAATATTTTGGCAAGAACACAATATAGGTGGGTGCTGTATTTATATAATGATTTTAATCCTTTATCCATTGCTTATATATAGCAGATATTTTCTTCCAATTTGTTTTTATTTTAGCTTTTTTTGAAAACGATTAAAAACAATTTTTCCCTTTATTGCTTTTAGTTCTGTGCCATATCTCTTCTATCCCAAAACTAACCCTAAATATAGACATGGCCATGTCTGTATACCCTCTATCCTAGTCTTATAATTCATTCTTTAATCATAATAGTTTTAATTAAAAAAGATGAGAAAAGCAGTCCATTTCCTTGGTATTCAATTTGATTTTCTCACAACCCACTATGCTTTAATTTCAAAATATTTCATAGACATTTATCAGAAACCTCATATAATTAAAAACTCAAGCTCTATTAGTAATTCATTGTGTGTAAGTAGCAATGCAAAACACAAAATGATACTTAACATATGCATTAGATAACAAATTCAGTTATCTTATAACTTCTCTAATTTGGCCTTTTTCTAATTAAAACGAAAACAACTTTATTTTGAGTAACTACTTCTTTGTAATAGTCAACTAAGGGAAATCCAGCCAATAACTATCTCAAAGTGGCTATATGAAGTTAGTTGATCTATATCTGAAGACAAAGGATTTAATTTAACTTTATCAACCTTCTTCCCTCATTCTGAGTACTGTAGTACAAACTAGAGGTAATGACTCTGAAAAATGTTCCAGCAAACCTAATCTGTGCAATTTTGTAGGGTACGTGGGCATTACCATCAATTTGACCACAATACCAAAAAATATTCACAGAATAATCTCCACGCTCACACACTCAATCCTTTACCTTAATGCAAGAGCTGTCTGAACAGTTATAACATGATAGTGAATGACAAAGTAGTGCTTAAGAACATACGTGATTCCATTCGGGTACCACATGGTAACACTCTAAAGAAAAGCAAGGTAATGAGCGACACGGAGCTCAGGGCAGAGTGGGCTGTGGCATGGCTGATCAGGAAGGCAGTGCCACCTTAGGGCACTTCCCACATTCATTTAAACCAAAATATCCTCTTCTGGACCTTT